AGGGTGTGTACTGTATATAAAAAAAAAAAAAAAAAAAAAGTAAAGATTAGAAATAAAGAGTTAATCTAAAAAATAATTACTCAAGTAAAGCACAGATAGCCAAAAATTCTACTTAAGGTAACAAAGTATTTGTACTTTCTTACTTAACACCTCTGCTGGTATCACAATAAGCTTAATTGGCCAAACTAATCATTTTCCCTAACCAGTTTTTTTATATAAAATTACTGAAACAAAGTAAAATAAAACTGAGTGTTCATTAAAGAATCCTCTAATTTTTACAGATATCCTCCTCTGAAACTTGTTTTGTTATTGAACTCAAATTAATTAGATGAAATTGGACCTGTTTGAGCAAGATCCTACATGTATGCAGCAAAACTCCTCCAACCTTGGATAAGCTAAAAACAGTGGATTGTTGAAACTGATCTCTTCTTTTAGTTGTTTTTGCATAACACTGGATTCATATGAAGGGTAATTTGCTGTGAATTGTGCTATATAGATAAAATTAACTGATTTTTCCTGCAAACTGTCCAAAAGTAGAATTGTTTCCCCAGTTTTAGCTGGGTTTAGGTACTAAATGCCCAAAAGCCAATGCAAGCGCATCTTGCATTTAAAAAAAAAAAAAAAAAATCAAGTAAATTAAGAGTTAGATCAGTGTAGTTCATTTCAGGTCAGTGTAATTCTAATTCCATCCCATAGGATTATTTTAATTTTCAGTTTTCATCCAGCTCAATCAACTATTAGTCCAGTTTACTTAATAACCAGTGCTTAATTGTAAACAAAACTACTTTAAAACTAGCATTAAAAGGGAATGAATAGACTATAGCCTTTATGCTATTCTCTTTTCTATTAAAACACAAAGGTGAATAAGAGGTGATGTCATCTTTTGGCATCAACCACCATTTCAATGAGAATTGCTTTACAAATTTTAACTGGTTATTTCTTGCTCTGTACGTTTCTAACATCACAGATAGCTGTAATATATTCCTTCTTTTCAGCAGTTTAGATTTCTGAAGAGTGAAAATATGGACGTGTACAGTGTGCTTGCTTTTTCAGATCTCATTGTCCTTCCACTTCAGATTTGCAGTAAGTTTTTTTTAGTAAATAAAAGCATCCCAATAAAATATTTTTAAAGGGACAGTGTAACAAATCTGCCATTTTTATTAGCCAACATATAGTATCGCTTTCATCAATACATATTCTGTGAAAGTCTAATCACATGATATATAAAAAAAAAAAGCTTAGATGTAGTGGTTCAGAAGGCTGGTGCACACAATGGGAGATGCCATCTTGTGATGGTATTTTTTAGTAGAAATGCCAACTTGTCAGCCTTGTTTTTTCTGTTTTGGGAAATGATTTCTTGGTTGTCAAGAGTTAAAACCAAAACAAAAAAAAAAACTGTAGATAATCCCATCTTCATCTTTCTGTTGCGATGGAGGAACATCCATACTTTATGTCAAGACCAGAGCTAGAACCAATTATTTTACTAATCGATTAATCTGTCAATTATTTGTTCAGTAAATCTGATAGCCACAGGTTCCTTCTTTCAAGGAGAGGAGCACCATATATATTTTAATACAGGTTTATAATAGGATTTTATGTATTTTATTTTATTCCTTACCAACTTCCAAGCTAATTTTTTTTTTTATTCGAGAGAAGGAAAAAAATTCCTAAGAATCAATGCTTAGAATAAAAGATTTGGTAATATAGTTCTCGTTTTTATCAGTTATAAGTTCCACTTTTGGACAATCAGTAATTTTGACTGAGAGGGAAAGTCGTGGCAAGAAAACTCCCAAAGGGGTACACAAGACAAAAAAGGTAAATTAACCATTTTCAAGTGCAAAAACAAGAAATGTTTTAGATGCTAGCTAGAGAAAGTTTGATTAGTGTTGACTGAAATTTTCTTGTTGATCAAATTTCATACCACACAAAATGATTAGAGATAGATTCTTTACAGAAAAAAAAACTTTTAATAGGCATTTTATACCATGTTTAACCATAAAGGTATCTGAAAGAGAAAATCCCCACATCCCAACAGGATAAACTACCAAATATGTATCAACATTCTGCACTACTGCTTTTCAAAAGTACCAGAGGGAAAAAACAAACAAACATGCTTTTCATGAACGAAAACATACACACAGAAGTGAAAGCTGAGCACCAAAGTTCAGATGAAGTAATGATTTAACTTCCAGGTCATTTTCCCACCTGCAGCATTATTTAGAATCCAGAAGAGCAACAATGATAGGGTCCCCTTTAAACAAACTCTTGTGCTCCCGAAACATGCATGATGCCTTAAAAACCAAATCCACGACGACAAAAAACCGATCCCTTCACAAAAGCTCTGGAAAGTATTTTAAAAATGCAACCGCATCCTTAAAAACAATGCAGTCTTAAGAAAATAGTGATAAAAAATATTCTCTGCATTTTACAACATAACAGACAGGAAACTGAACATGGAACCGACTCCTCTACTCCGATGCTTTCTCCTCCTCTTCAGGCTTGTCTTCATCCGTCTGATCCTCTGCTGCAGGAGCCTGTAGATTCATTAACATGTTAAGGAGTTTGTTCCTTATACATCAGGAAAAAAGGAGCAGAGTGAACCTTTTAGGTCCCAGTGGTAACATACCTCCTCAGCTTTGGCCTCTCCATTTTCTGCAGGAGTTTCTTTCTCTGCCTGGGCTTCTTCTTTCTTCTCCTCTGCCTTGGCCTTTGTTTCCTCCTTCACTTTTTTGGTCTTCGGAGGGGCCTGCAATGATCATCAATGCAAATCATTATGATATTGAAACATTATAAATTAGACATTCTTCAATCAAACAGCTTTAGTGAAGGTTGCCATTGGGTTACTGGGACCGCTACTTCCACTGGGACAATCAAAAGGGACCAACATATTGAACAACTTCCAGCAAGTTGTAGACACACTAAAGAGCTTTGATAAGACCCACTAGAAGTGAGCGATGCATTTAGGGCCTAACATTGTTGTGTTACAGGAACAAGGGAATTTGATATTTTTAAATTGTAAAAACAAAATTTTATTATCCACATCCTGGCCTAACTTTTCTACATTATATACGTAGGACGCTGTGGAGAGTTCAGTGCAGAAAGCTTCTACTTTGACAGTGGTGGAATTCTTTCTACATCTCTATCTACGGAGCCCCTAAAGGGACATGGAGGGGAAAAAATAACTTTTGCGAGATCTCTCAAAAGTTTATTTTTTCCCTCCATGTCCCTTTAGGGGCTCCATATCTATTATATATACAGTGAGGAAAATAAGTATTTGAACATCCAGCTACTTTGCAAATTCTCCCACTTGAAAATCATAGAGTGGTCTGAAATGGTCATGATGGGTGCATGTCTACTATGAGAAGAAAAAGAAAAAAAAAAATCCAGAAAGATATGATTTTCTTCTTTATGCCGCTAATGACCTCAAACAAGTGCATCTGATTTAGGATAATAAATGGAGCGAAGGTGGATATTTTAAAGGCAGACTAACAGGTCAAAGAATAATATTAACCTGAATTTATACCATATCCACATCGCTCCACTGCGGTGCGCGAATCCTACAATAAAAGCCTGTCATTAAACAGAAGTCAGACTAACATGACTTAATTGCACGATTTTTAAAACTGGTTAACGTACATTTTGTTGTTTGACATCCTGAAAGTTGCATTGTTCCCATACTTAGAGTGAGTTTAGAGAAGCTATTTTGTAGCTGATTTTGGTTTATTTAATACTCAATTGTTATGTACAAATTCCCAAAATAACTATAAATAGAACTAATGTTTGATATTCCTAATATTAAATTTGATAATGCATGAATTCACATAAAGTTTACCAAAAAAACAACAACAACAGACTTAACGACACTGATCGTTAGGCAAAAAACAGGACAGAGCAGAATTGTGCGCATGCGTAGGCAGCGAAAATGCTCTGTGATTATAACGGCAGTATATTTCTGGCACAGTTTGCAGTTTAACAAGTGTAAATTTGGGATTACTATAAAAAAATTTCATCCTAAAAATTCCTGAAAAACCTTTAAGCCTGAGCTGACTTCTCCATTCCAGCTGAAAGCAGCATGATGCCGCCGCCACCACATTCACTAGCTGAATTAATGTTGAGGTATACAGGTCCCCTTGCACAAAAAGCCCTTTGGACACAGACATGAATGTTTTAATTGTGTTTTAATCTAATAAGAGCAATTTCTTCCATATTCTGGATGCATACTAGCAACACAGATCATCCACTTCCGATGCTCTCTCTGAAGGCAGTCGAGCAACATAATTCAACAGGTTTGAAGCTAATGTATTCTTACAACCACTAAAAAGTGCTCTATGTTTACATTAAATATATGATGTCTGATTGAAATTACTTTTACTAGACTTTGTTCAAAGGGGACTCTTTAAAATTGTGTAAATACAACTGAACACCACGCTATCTAGAGACTCCGAAGCATCAGATGCAGGTCCAGCAGATTCCATAAGTTTCTTCCATTAGACTGCTGAATGTTGTGTAAAATTGGTTTTATTGTATTTTATATATAAAGAAAACAAATAACTGAAAATTACACTCATGTTTATATTACTGTTTTTATGTATTATTTTTTTTACTGTTTTCAAGGCCGCACTAAAAAAAGAAAGAAAAGAAACCCGTGTAGAGCCGTTAATGAAATTTCTTTGTGTATACACTTGTGTACACAAAATAACAAATTAATCTGTTAAAGTCTTTAGATTTGCTTCATTAAAAACATTTTCCACTACTTTGCTAGTTAGTTTTAACATATTGTGTTAAATCCACATAAACAAGTGCAAGCCTTATGGAAGTAAAAACTATTGTTAATGAAAGTACACAATTGAGAGAGCAGTGTGTGTTTTGGAGGGTCTCTGTGGCATTTTAATCATGACCAGCATTGGGAAGTTGTGCGTCTTACCTTAGTCTTCTCTGGTTTTGGCTTTTCCTGCGTCTCTTTCTGCAACAAACAGGAAATTTAACATGAGACAAAAATGCACTGTACAGCATACAGAGTGAATTTCATTCCCCAACCAGTTTGTGAATCTCACCTCTGACAACCTTTGAGACTTCCGTCTTGGCTAAAAGAAAACAGAGATTCTGAGTTAATTAAATCACTGATGAGTCGGGGGGNTCAGAAGGTATTTTAGAAGCCAGCAAACATGCATCATACCCACAAATGAAACATTAGGTATTAACCATGACTTACACTTGCAGTAGAGGTTAAAGATTTACCGTATACACAATCATGCAGACAATTTTCAGTGGCATGGTAAAACATGAATTTTTTTTTTTCATCCTTTAAACTCAATAAATCAGTCAGTAGGGGAGCTTTTAAATGCTTTGCCCCTCAGGCTGTTCTTTTTGTGCATTTTTTACTGGCCTGCAAGGACAGTCATTTCACCCTTTGCAGTCCAATTCATAAAAACATCCGAATAACAGCAAAAGAAATCCTTACCACCACGTACATGTAAATGCATGATTTGAACCCTTTTAATAGAATTCCAAAAAGTAAGAAAAACAATAGAAATTCCCTTGCCAGCACTTCTGCAGCACGGTTTGCTGTTGCTTTTTAAAACACACTCACCTCTGCAGCTGCATCTGCATCAGATGTTGCCTGTGAAAGTCAGAGAGAGAGGGGGAAGAAAAATTAACAAGCATCGAACAACAACCATTCATGAGTGAGCCAAAGTGGGTGTGTGATGGAAAGGGGGATGGGCACCTCTGCTTCCCTCCCTCCCTATGATCAAGAACTTATGCAATCTGTAGGATATGTGAAAAAAGACGGTTTGGGTGCAACATTAAGCGAACCCTGCCGACCTAAAGATTTATTTTAGGTAGATTAAAAACCATTTTCGCCACTGTATTGTTTCCTCTTGAGTCGGCCAGATGTGTCGCTGTTGTTTTTTGGGCCACATTGGCTGCCATGATGATCCTAAAGCTGAGCGTCTCAGGAGCGACAAGCACCATTTTACCAGCGAGCTCCGTCAAAGGTTAAAATCCCAACAATGCAGACTTGTTAAAAAAGAAAAAGAGCGGCCATTGTTGGGATTATTTAACGCGAACAAGATGAAGACGAAGCTAAAAATGCCGACGGTTACACGACCCAGGAATTCCTGGAAGCCCTGAACATGTAGGCTTCCAGCGCCTTTGTTTAACGCAAACATTGTTTGAGTTTGCAAAACAGTTTAGAAACCTGTTAATGCTTGCATTGCTGTAAGGATATTTATATATAAAACTTATTAGCTGTAGAAAAACAGGGGGGGGGGAAAGGCGCCACTTCCACGTGTGAACACGACAACCCAGACTGAGCACATCTAACGTGGACTGCAACCAAAACTACCACACAATTAACATTATATTTAAAATGTTTACGGTTAAATAAAGTATAATTATTATTTAAGCTTACCTTTTTTCTTCCCATCGTTTTTTTTTTTTTCAGAGACAGTAGCAAGAATATTTTAATCTGGATTATGTGGGTCAGACGACCAGCTCGGACCTAAACCTCCAGGAAAGTGTGTTAGCGGTAATTTAAGGTCCAACCGGTACCAGAACAGGCTCGAACCGGATTGGTTCCCTCGCTCCTTCTGTATTTTATCCCTCGTCCTACCAACCCGGCAGGAAGGGCGAATCTCCGCCCAGTGTTCCCACTGATTGGCTTTAAGTTTAAGGCAGCATATTTTTGAAACACAACATCTTTACCTGTGTGGGCAGGATGGCGTGCCAATCAACTATCACTGTTTAACCAGGGGAACCGCACAAAGGGTGTGTACTGTATATAAAAAAAAAAAAAAAAGATTAGATAACATAAAGGCCCGTCATTGAATCATATTCTGAATAACCCTGCATCAAAACATGCACGTGCAAATAAACTACTTCCTGCTGAAAATATGTGGCGTTATTTTAGTAATTTGCACTTTTTTTTTGGTTCTTATTTTGTAAAACCTCCTTTTTATATAAGGAGCAGCATCTCCACCTGTAACTGTGCTGTTTGGTTGTGGGAGTAACACTGGGGAAAAAAAGATGGCGGCGGGCTGTGCCTGGTTCCTGGTACTGGGCTCCGTGTTTCTTTGCAATCTAATGAAAATACTCCTGCCTACCATTTCCACCTTTGTAAGTAAGAGGTTCTGTATTGCACATGCGAACTATCTAAAACGTAAATGAAGCTCCGGAATTGTTTATTTAATCTTGTAATGGCTCTCAAGCCAAGTGCTAAGCTAACCACTGTTAGCATGGCCTAGCTTAGCCTTTTCCAAAAGCTAGCACTGTTAGCCTCTCATGCTAAACAAAAACCCAACAACAGCTGGCGCGCGTTTTTTTCCCCCATTTTTTTTTTATCTTTTACCCTCAGCCAGATCAGGTTACAGGACACACGTGATAAACGTAGGCTTTACCCAGTACAAAGATTTAGTAAGCTAACTGTTTTGCTTAAGCATCTGGGTTAGCTAGCTGGTCATATACGATACATTTATTTAAAATCGTGAAATGGGTTATAGTAAATGCATTGTAATGCATGCATCAAAAACTGGGTAAATATGTTTTTATAGGGGTAGCGCTGAGCTGGATCTCGGGTTCTTTAAATAAGAGAATAATGTTAATAATATAACATGTGGAGTACCTCAGGGATCAGCTGTGGGTCTAAATTGATAAATTAACATATTAATGATATTGATTATGTTTCAAAACTTTTAAAATGTTTCTTATATGCATATGATACAACTTTCTTATGCTGGAGACGGTATATATCATGTTAAAAAGTTTTTCAAATAGAACTAAAACAAAGATGAAGCTGTGGTTTAATGTAAATAATTTATGTCTTAATCTTGATAAATCATAATTAATGTTATTTGGTAATAATGGTATAAATACTGGAACCAGGATTGACCTACTTCGTGAAGTTAAGTTCTTTGTTGAAAATATTTCCTGGAAGTTGTATATTAATAGTTTGAAGTATAAATGGATAAAATACCGGTAACTGCCGTAATATTAAGTAAAATAATCATTGAACAGAAAGGAACAAAATCTATTATATAATTCTTTGGTTGTTCCATATCTGACCTTTTGCATAGTAATATGGGGGAAAACATAGAGTGCCTGTCTTTATATTGCAAAAAAAGGGCAATAAAAATAATTGTAGTGAACTGAATTAGAAAACATTTGACTTTTTATTTGATTAGTTTCTTGAAATTTCTGTAATTTTCAAAAGAGATTTTAAAAAAAGGCAAAGTTATTATAATTTAATTACTTTGGTTTTTGTAAAACCAAGGTTAGAACTAAAAGATTGCGGTGTTGTCTTTCTGTATATGGAGTCAGTTTATGGGACAGTCTTGGTAAAGATATTCTGAAAGCTAAATCCATTACTATGTGTACATAATCTAACATAAAGTTAGTTTATTCTTTGCTTTATATTAATTCTTAGAAATTAAGTAACGGGAGAACATTGAACATTTTCTTATAGCTTTTTGTGAATTTCTATTGTTTTTCTGTTTTTAATTTGTTTATGAAGATGCAATTTGACATAGCGACGCACGAAAAATATGTTTTTAAGTTATCCAAGTTAATTTTCTGAAACCCTGAATGAAGACGGTAGAATCTAGACTTTAAAAACCCAGAAATCCACAGTTTTCTGACTAGATACCTCTGTGGGTACATGAGCTCCCCACTGCAGCTTCTACTCAGAGAAAATCTTGTATCAGCACATTTTTTGCGGTAGGCCTTCCACCTGTTTTACAAAGTCAAAACTTAAAGAAGCACATCCGGCTGAACAGCTAGTCTGAGCTAGTAATCAAAGCTTTTCAACTCTAGTCAACACCAAGTCTGTGGCTGCTTTGGTCATCCCCTTTAACAGCTCTTTATTTATTTTGGCAGGTCACAGTTTCAAAAATATTAATAACATAGACTTACCCAGGACATCTATGGTTATATAATTTTTTTCTGTTTATAGCACTGCTAGGATTGATTGCTAAATTGTTTCTTTAAAGAAACTGTTTGATTAACCTGAATATGTTTTTTATTCTTTCTTTTTACTCTTTTTTTTTTTTTTACTTTTCTTTTTTAGATTAAGTGACTTGTCTGTTTTTAAAGACGTTTTTTTCAATAAAAACTTCAGGCTCCAAAAATAAAAGGCACATTAAGGAAATGTATATTTTTAGAATTCTTCTTTAATGTTTTACTTAAAAAAAATGCAAATTGAACATCCTTGGGTTCAAGGCAGAGAAATGACTGCCTGCCGGTTTTAATAGGAATAAAAATGTTTAAGGTAACAAGGGTCTGAATATAATATAAAATAAAACTGTGTAAAGGAAATCAGCTGACATTTACTCTGAGCGTAGAAAAAAAAAGAGGATCATTCATCAAATCTTAGTTAAAACATTTCCTGGCATTATCCAATATTTTAAAACAAATGAATTTGTTCAATCTTTCTCTTTTTGCATACATTTTTTCACAGGTTTTGATGATACCATGTGAGAGTAGCTTTATTGTTCTGTGAGATAAAGTCATTTGCTTTGAAATGTTTATAACTGCAGCCATATTGGATTTTGAGGTTAGAGTTAATGATTTACCTCTCACTTTCTCACCCTGTATTCAAACCTTTAGTGACGTCATAAAAGTCAAAGTTTCAGTACTTGAACAAGTTTTGCATGTACTAAAGTGGTTTTGGTTACAATAAGTTTCAGAATCATTTCTCTGTTCTGAAATGATTCCCCCTACAGTAACATTCAGATGCTTTGTTTGCTCAGCAATCCTGTTTATGTTTCCCTTATAGCTGTCCAAGATGGTGCAGAAAGATGCTGAGCAGGAGAGTGAGATGAGGACTGAAATCCAGCAGATGAAGAAGGAGCAATCGTCCATCAGTATGATGGATGAGTTTGCAAGATATGCCAGGCTTGAGCGCAAAATTAACAAGACTACAGATAAGCTTAAAACACATGGTAAGTTGAAATGACACCTCTCAATAATGCAAGAGGAACATCTCACCTACTGTATGTTATTAGTATCAGTGTAGTTTAGGTTGGAACGATCTGTTGAAAACATATTTTCTTATTTTCTTTTTGTCTACACTCGAAAAAACTGAGTTTATGTTGTTTAGCAAAGAAGAAGAGATAAAACTTCCCGTCTTTTAAATTTTGATTGGGTCGGTGAGCTTAATATACAGTAAATGGCACACTTATTGGGATATTTATTAGTTTTATTTAAAAAAAAAAACTAATTTTTTCCAACGGTAACATGTAAAATTTTGTTGCTATATCTAAAAAAGAATAACTCTTTGTTGACAACATATAAAACCCTTCAGGGCTCACTAATCATTTTGCATCTGTACAATTAAACCTTTACAGTCTTTTTTCCCCCATTTTAAAACATGGGGAGCAAGTTTATTTAAACGGCACTGCTGTGACACAAAGGGGGGCGTGTTTAGTCCTTCACAGCTGTTCAGATCTGCAGCAACAGGCGGGTTCAGCAACTGCAGGAAGTGGCTGGAGGTTTGATGAAGTGGTTGCTGGGAGCAACAGGTGCCTGTTGTCCTGTAGTTGTTTACCTACGTTACATGAATTCTACAGAGGATTGGATTAAATTAAGGCTGCAACTAATGATGATTTTGCTAATCTATTAATCAGTTGAATATTTTTTCGATTAATAATCAGATTGCCAAAGGTTCTTTAAAGAAGAATTTTTATGAAATTAAACTAGGTGAAACAAAAACTTTTCCACTTGAGGAGTTCTGGATAGAGCATATTGACAGATGAAAAGGTTTTTTTCTATCTTAAATGGTAAATGTTTTATTATATATATTTTTTTACAACGTTGGTATAGTTACTGCGCTAAATGTGTTGCTCTGTCAGTTGAAGGCATGTCTTAGAGTCTCTATACTTCAGTTAACAATTAATCGATTACAAAATTAGTTGACTATTTAATAATTAATTAATCTTGATTAATAGATATTGTTTCAGCCTTAGATTAAATCATAATGTTTTTATTACTCAGGTTTAATGAATGTTTTTTTGATTTTTTTTTTTTTTTTTACGTTTGCAGTACAGTCGCGAACGGCTCAACAAGCCAAAATGAAATGGGTTGTGAACATTGTCTTTTACATTCTCCAGGTAGGTGGACACTACAAATAAAGATACAATATTAAGTTATATTACGACTGTAAAGCTCGAGTTGGTGACTTTATTAGATAAGAAAGACAAAAAATTCCCTAATATAAGCTGTAAATCTCTGCGAAGAAGGAACTGATTTTAATTTTTACTGTGCGTTACTTCTGTGTACAGGCTGCTCTGATGGTGTCACTGATCTGGAAGTACTACTCTGATCCAGTGACCGTTGTTCCCAGTAAATGGATCGCCCCTGTGGAGCGACTGGTGGCTTTTCCAACAGGAGTGGCAGGTAGGTGGTGTGCTTTTCTTTTTTTATACTATATGACACAATCCTCATATATTAATGATGTGCATATATAGGTGATTTGTTGGTTTAATGCTGCTCTACATCTAAATATTTAAATTTAATCAATTCTTATTACTTGATTTGTTTTAGGATAATCTAGAGTTAGCCATCAATGTATGAGACTACAGAAGATACCATTATTGTTATAAATCAATGTTAGTGTTTTCTAAACAACGGCTAACAAGTTGGACCTTTTAATAAATCAAACAAAACAATAATGCTCCGTTCAGACGGCAAGCGCTGGAAGCTGCAAAAAAGCTTTTGCTGCTTCATTTTAATTTTTCATATTAAGGACAGAGCAGCTTTGACGCCCCTGAAGCGAGCCCAGTAATGGCAGAGAGTGGCTTTGTTATATTTGCTGTTATAAGTGGGTAAAAAGTAGTGATGGAACGGTTTATGAAAACCGTCCGAACCGTTCGGTTCGACTGTCTCGGTTCGGTTCGCGTGTGTTGCGTTCGGTTCATGCGCTGCTCCTTTTTCTCATAGACGAAGCGTGTACACTCCAGAGCAGAAGGTGGCTGTACTGCGACCAAAGCCAACCACCAGTAGAAAACAAGAATAAGAAGAAGCGAAGCAGTGTAGCCGGATGTAGCAGAAAAAAAAAATCAGTTGTTGTGGAGAATTGTGTGGGTATGGCGAGTGGGAAAGAACAGGAGTTGGAAGACGCGCCAGCAGCACTTTATAGGTCTGCTGTATGGGAGCGCTTTGCATTTAGAGTGACCTACGATGACGGAGGAAAGAAAGTTGTGGATGTCTCCCTGCCAGCTCCAGGATCAGCTTCTCTGATTGGTTGATGTGGCGCGTCGAGCCGCTAAAGTTCAATTTTTCCAACTTCAGCATCTGCTGCTTTTGCAGGGCGTCGCGCATGTCAGATGTTCATAAGCTCACCAGGCACTGCTTCAGCTGCTGAGATTGTTTGTGCTCCTGCTATTCAGAGCGCGCTGCAGGAAATTTGCTGCGCCTTGATGCGCGCAAGCCATTGACTTTGCATGTAAACTAGCTGCTTCCGCTGCCTCTAACGTGAGCGGTCTGAACGTAGTGTAACAGTGGATCGCAAAATTGAGAGAGCGCACATGAATTCACCTCATTCAATCTCAAGGCATGGCTGCTAAATGCACTAATGTATCGGTGAATGGAGAGCGTATCGGACAGCTGAAAAATAAAAGCCACTGCATCAGTCTAAATGTACTCTGTTCAGTTTTAAAAATGAAAATATGTCGACTTGAAGAATGCTATAACCGTGCACTGTGCAGAGATGAACGGTTTAACATCAGTCAAAATAGAGCAGATTTTAGCAGACAACATGGTCTACTCAACCAGGAACTAACTTCTAACCCTAACCCTAACTAACAAGAACACTTCTATCAACATCTGCAGCTGTTGATACGATAAATGATGACAGCCCAACATTGGATTCCACTCAATGTTTAACCATATATAACCCATTTAAGAAATGTTTGGATGGACATATTGACACATTCTTCATATTTTGGACCAATAAGCTGCTCAGTTGGAGCATGTCAAGTTCTGATAACTTTGCTGATCCTCACAGAGCTGTTTTTGTTTTCTTCCAGGTGGAGTGGGAATCACTTGCTGGCTGGTGGTTTGCAATAAAGTAATAACGTTGGGTCTGAGTACCATCAGCTAGAGAAACGCTCCGTTTGGTGATTGAGACAAGAAAAAAGGCTCTTCTGAGACTGCAGTATTAATTTATTGTTATACTTTGTTTCTTTCTGTTTTTGTTGCATCTTTGATTTCTTATTTTGACAGAAATGTGTTTTAAACTGTGAAATTTTCTTTTTAATAAAAGATGAAAAGCAAATAGTTTTTTTTTTTATTATTATTTCCACCTTTTTCTCATAAGACCAGTCAGGTATATCTGTGCTAAATTTTTAGTCAAAATAAAGCAAAACATTAATTTTAAAATTGAATTCATTACAACTTATTTACAGGTTTATCCACAAAGCCTTGGTTTTTGTGACTCAGCTCCTCTTACCCCGGCGTCCTTGGCCTCTCCAGGACTTTCTTCCAAACATGTTTTTTCATTTTCATTAAGAAACGCAATATGAGAATAAACACAGTTTACAGACACTGATAATGTTTCTTTTTTTTTTTTTTCTCTCAACATGGTTTCAAACCTGCAGCATGTTTACCTCTTCATGAGCCGTCCTCTGGGCTGTCATTTAATCTGTAGTTTTCAGAAATGTTTGTTTCTGGTTTTTCAATAAGCAATGACTCCTGCGCTTGATTGTCAAAACGCTGAGATGCCAAAGAAACACAAGAATACCATACATAAGAAAGATTGGTACCTACGGTTTCCATTTGCTTAAATAACATTCAGCATTGATCAAAATACGTTCAATATTCCCTATTAAGGTACAATAATAAAACTCACAGAGTTGTGCTGGTGTTTGAGCATCTCCTCGTGTGTGGATCAATTCATCCGTCTGCATCGTCTTTTTCTCTTTACCTAGAATTGTGAGTCAAAAAGCTGAGATGCATGACTCCGTGGCTAAAGGTTATTGTTTTTGCACATTACCGTTGATGCTGGGTTCTTTAACAGTCCTGTGGTAATAAATGTTATGTTTCTGCACTTGTTTTTCTTTGAGCTATTCCACAAAAAAAGAATTATACATGCATGTATAATATATATATATCTATATATGTATTGTGTACTCATTGAGACTAGAGAGTGATTCAAAAAAAGTAAAACATGAACACACGGGTGGGGAGGGGGTATGTTTAACTTTATCCCAGTCAGTTTTTGTTAGACAGTGGCTCATTCCCTCCATGAGGAGGGTAAGAAACTAAAGGTAATAGAAAATAGGGTGCTCAGTTGATCTGGGAATCCACAAGGCCTGGCCTGCAGCTGGTGTCACAGTTTGAAGAACCACCAGCCTGCAAACCAGCTTCACCTTCTGAATCCCTTGCAGTAACGCCTCTCCTATGCCAGATGCAAGTTGAGAAACATCATAAACTGACCTAATTTAAAACTTCCTTGAGGTCCAGCATGACGTTTTCACAGCCATCTTGCAGAGCTGTGTCATCTGCTGGTGCAGGCCCACTGGGTTTTATCAAGTCCAAAGTCCACCCAGCAATCCTACAAACCTTCCTCCCTCCTTATGCTGATAAGCTTTATAGAAATGCTGATTTAATTTTCCAACAGCGCCTTGTGCCTTCCCCTAATGCCAAAAGCATAAATACCTGTTTTACTGACCACTGTTCATTGATTGCTCCACATTTGGTATAGATGGAGAACTCTGATAGGGATCCGTTTTATGGTGCTCACCTGGAGTTGATTGTTTAGCAGAAGGATGTGCTGTTGCAGACGACTGGATGAGTTTTTGGCCTCTGACCTTTCTCTGTTCTGCTTCTATTTGATGATTGAATTATTTGCCCCATGCTCTGAAGTAATGAAAAGAAATGCAATGCTGTACCAAGTAAATGTTTTCATCTTTACAACTTATATGAGAATAATTCTGCATGCTGGTTTTGCTGCAGATGCTGCAGGGCCTCCTTATTGCTGAGGAGCTTTCTCCCTGAGGCCTGAAGCTGCCTGGCCAGGTTGACACTTGAGGGTTTCACAGAGCAAAGTCTGAAGGTGTTTGTTTTCATTTCTGTGCTTGCTAAAATCTGTAAACAAGAGAAAATTTTCATGGTGACATTCATGATTCTGCTGAAGTGAAGGTATTTTTTTTTTATTCTTTTTTGGAGAACAGTGTACATGCATGTTCATTTGCTCACTACAGATGGAGGTGATACTGCAGCACCTGAAGAGCTGGGTTTAACATATCTAACCTGGGAAATGCTTGCCTCTGAGTCTTGGAGGTGTTTGTGCGCCACCGTGTGGCAACGCTGGGTTTTTACAGCAGCTGGTTTTCAGCTTTGGCTTCACTCAGCTGCTCCTGCAGATCTTTTCAGCACCCAGATGCAGCTCATGTGGTTGGATGGCTTCTTTGAACCCTCTGGGGGCCTAACTGGAGGCAGCTTCAGGGTTTCACGCTTCACCTTCCTGACACCTTGGAACTTCTTCTCTAAATGGAACAGTGAATCCCTTTAGCTGTGGCAGAGTGGATTACATCAAAAGAAAAAATAAACAAAAACCATCTGTTACTTGATTGGCAGACTGTTTTTTGCGTGCAGCTGATCGGGGACCTGTCAGTTCTCCGTTCACGACCAGATGGATACTGAGGACTACTATGAGAAAGATTTGGCATTATAGTTTAGAAAAAAAATAAAAATAAACAAGCAGATTTCCTTTTTTCTGTCAAAACAAGAATCAATGATTGAAAATCTGAATTATTTAGAATAATCCAATGTGATCTAGTACATTATCCATTCGGAAAAAAAGATTGTATAAAATAGTTTATCTTTGAAACATTAATTCGATTTTATGAAAACCAAAACACATAGCCAGCTCAAACTATTTGTAAATAGAAAAGTGTGGGTTATTGTTGTACTAAGGTTTTAAGAAGTTACATTTATGAAACTGCTTGATGTATTTGCCAACTGTTTAACGTTAAACATAATTTTGATAATATGTCAAATAAAATGCCATAGGGAGCAAAGTTCATCCGCAGAAAGACAAATTGTCTGCATAGCTGATGATATAGCTCTGAACTATTAAATAACCACCAGTTCATTATGTTTGAGTTACCAATAATCATCAGAAAAGCAAAAAGGGAAGCCATTCATTATAACAAACTGTTGAAATAATTGTTTCTATTTATTATTAAACCAAATCTAAATCTGGAAAGAAAAAAAGAAGAAACTAACACAGAAATAAATGTATTTTACATACAAAACTGATATAGGCTAACCATTGTGTTATATCTGTTATATATTGTTCTTGTAGTGGTAACAAAGATCATTTTAAATGAAAGTTTAAAAAAAAGGAAAAAAAATATATATATATAGATACATTTCAGAAAAAAACAGAAATGAAAAACTAGAAAAAATACCAGGGTCTCAGAGAAGAGCTGGACAAAACCTGGAAGTTCAAGGCATCAGTGGT